CTGCCTGGCAAGTCCAAGTTCCTGAGTCTGATTCCTGATACCAGAAAACAAAATAATACGAAACATACTGTATAGCTATGCAAAATATATTCTTTACATATCAAATCATGACCTTTCTGCTCTCTTCTCCACCTTCTCTCTCTCCTCCCATCTCCACAGTGTCTACCTTCCTGTTTCCTACCATCTTTTATTTTGGTCTTCATGTTATTTTTATTTGTTTCATCTTAGAGAAAACACACGATATTTGACCTTTTTCTTTAGATCCTTATTTTATAAGTTTTTATTCTATTAAATTTGTTTTTATTTTTAAAACATTTGTTAAAAACTAAGACACAACTACATACATTTTCCAAAGACTACATGGGGTCAGAATCAATATTAATGTCTTCCACCTCAATGTCTTGTCCCTTGGAAGGTCTCTAAGGGTGATGACACGCATAGAGTGGCTACCTTCTGTGATGACAACGTTTTTCCTCTGGAACTCTCCTCAAGGACCTTCGTAAGGCTGTTTTACAGTTAACTTTTAACAAGTTTCTAGCAGGAACTCTAAAATAATGATAGAGGGCCGGGGATTTAGCTCAGTGGTTCGGTGGCCTGCCTTGCAAGCACAAGGACCCAAGTTCAATCCCCGGTACCCCCCCCAAAAAAATAAAATAAAACAAAATGATAGAAATTACAGTGTAACAAATACATAAACCAGTAACACAGCCATTTATTATTAAGTATTGTATACTGTACACAATCACATGCAAGAAACTTCTACAGGATGGGCAGTGAAGCAGGTGTGTTCACACTAGGACCGGCACACTTGTCAGTAATGCCTAGGCTTACAATGTCAGTGATAAGAATTTTTTTGCTGCATTACAATCTCATAGAATTGTCGTGTGTACAGCCATCCTTGAAGAAATGCCATTAAGTAGCACTAGACTATAAATCTATCGTAAGGGTTAGGTGTAGGATAATAAGTAAATTTGTAACTTATCAACCTCCCAATGATATGAGACCACAGACTAATGGGAGATAGAAAAAACTTGTAGCCTCAGCTCTCTTTCTCATAAAACTCTAATGTTTAGAGATTTGGAAGATGAGAAAGAAACAGAAAAAGACTGAAAGCAGCAGCCAATGAGGCAGGGTGAGAACAAAGGGCCAATGTTAATGCTAAAGGCAAATGAGAAAAATGTTTAAAGAAATGTTTGTGTCATCTGCAATATTAAATGCTACTAACAAAGTGTGAAAAATGAGATCTCTCCCAACATACATTTTGCTGTGAAATTTAATTAGCAAATACATTAAGTATGTAAAGAAGATGCCTGCTGTCATGATCAATGCTGTACACCAGAAACTCAGAGCCCCAGCCACCTCTCATTCTTGTCTTCCTGCAAAGGAAGCCCAGTAGCCTAGTGCCATGTAGCTCTTGCCCTATTTCCCACAGCGTATCTTTATATGATTTATATACCTCAGCTGTCATTCTGCTAAGTATCATCTAGATGATGAGTCAGGAATTCTAACTTGCGCTTTTAAGAGTTGACTTTCCAAAAGGTATATGAAATTCCACAAAACACATATACATCCATTTGTTGAACAGACTGAGTGCCTACTGTATGCCATGGACTGTGGTAGCATCTGAAATGATCTGGTGAGAGCCACAGTCTTGGGTTTCAAAGAGTGCCCAGTTTCGAGACCAAAACAACTACTGAACCATATGAGAAGGGTACTAGATACTTAGTCAAACAAAGGGGAGGAAGCTATCTGGAGGAAACTGGGAAATTACTTAAAGACAATAAATGAAGGAACATGAAGGCCCTCCTAGAGGAATAGAGAGGAAAGATGCAGGAAAGAATGGTAGTGTGACAGTAAGGAGGCAAAAGTGATGTCTTTGACAAGGCACTGGACCCAAGGAAGGAGAAAGAAGCACAGAGTCCATTAGGAGGCAGAGAGGATAGATATGGTGATTGGCTGTGAGGTATAGGAGAGAAAACTCTAGAATTCAGGCTGGTTGACCAGGTGATTGTCCCATGTTGACACTATAAGCATAACAGCCTTGAGAGGGATGAAAAGAGGGTAAATGATGACTTGGTTTTGCGTTGTGTTGCATTTGAGGTATGAAGATACCTGGTAGTGTACTAGAAAGGTCTGGAACCTCTAGAAAGAACTGCTCTGGAATTCTAGAAAGAAGATAGGTATAGACATTTTGGATTTACCAGATTGTTAGGTTGATTCTGATTGCACTAAAGAGAGTGTAGCCATAGCTAGAGTACTAGAATTCCACAAAGATACCTTGAACAAGCAGGCACAGAGATGGGAAACAAAGAGAAAGGGAAGAGCAGCACCAAGATCATCAAAGGAAGAATTTCTGAAGGGAAGTAAGTCAATAGTGTTGAAGTAGGACTTAAAGAAAAGCAAGTTCTTTCTAGCCTGGGGCAGTCCTGACCCCCACACCCCACACTGCCCCTTTCTTCTGTAGCTGTAACTCTTTCTTCTGGTACAGATAAAATTGACAACTATGTCCTGTAAGACAACTATGTCTGGTAAACACAGTTTTTGACACTCTGTTCTCATATGATTCATTAGACACTGTCTTCTTTCAAGACAAAGTTACAAAACTCTGCCCCCTTGTCCTGTTCTGGTAAACGCACTTGCTACACTAGAAAAACCACACCCTTCAACAAAATGTATACAAGCTTTGTTCAATACTCTTCATTTGGACAGAGTCCATTCAGCCGGTGTACAGTTTAAACCTGGCATCCTAAATCCCATTGGTCTCTCCTCTCTCTTGGATTTGTACATACCACAAAGAAGTGTGAGTTCATTCCTTGAACTCACGTGGTAAGAATAACCTCACCACGAATCACCTAACAAATTAAGAACTCCAGTTTTCTGTCATGTATCTTTTGCTACAATAACTTTATTCCTTTCATTTGTTGTGGGTTTTTATTAAAAATAGTCCCATAAGTGAATCTGTAATTTTTCTAAGATAAATACTATTTTAGATGACTCCCGTAATTCTTTTAGAGAGATCCAGAAATATGTATGTTTTCCAATAAAACTCACATTACCTAAATGCAGAGCTCACAAACTTAAATATCTACAGGGACTAGGCAAGCCACATAAATGAGTAAAAGCATTTGATTCTAGGTGAGAAGCCCACCCCAGCCCCCAACACCAGAACATGTCTTTCCTATAAAAGAGCAGCTAAGCCATTCCTCACTGGTCGTATGGGCCAGTCTTACCAAGTTTCATGAAAAGCCAGAACTCTAAATTTTTATATGTAACCTCCTAATTTTAAAACATAGGCAATTAAAATTTTTTTCAAAATACTTTGCCATGAGATAGTTCTAAACTTATGTTGTTGTTTTTTTTTTTTTTGCCTTTCTGTTATGTTATTATACAAAGCATAATACAGCACATTAAGCATTCCACTGAGGAGAAATTAAGGGGGCAAAAGATTCATAAGTAGTAATACAGCAAGACCTCAAATCTAGTTCTTGTTCCAAAAAATTTATTCTCTGTGATTATACAGCCTCTTTACTTAATAAAAGAAATATGTGTAAAGGTTTTCAAGACAAGTTAATTAGTCATGATGGGTAATAATAATTTAGGAAGGTCAAACTTCACACAATACAGATGCTCTTTCTCTTCTTAAGTGTTTTTAGATAGAAGTTCCAGGAAATTAATTACCAATGTTTCGTCAAATCAATTATGTTTTAAATGTATAGGACACAATAACTTTAAGCAGAATGGTAATTTAGGGAGACTTCATAACAAGTTTGTAAAATAACATCAGGTAGATCTCTTCAATTTCTGGAAAAAGCTTAACTGTTGCTGATGGAAAGCTGACTCCAATTATTAAGACTTTATTTCATAATACGGACTGTATCAGTTCATTCATTCAACCTATATTGTGAGCCTACACTTTCCTGTTGAGTGGAGAGATTCCGAAGCTCAAAGGTATACCTTTGAATTAAGTATTTCTTGACTCCTGGTGGTTAAGTGCTAAGGAAGTCCAAAAGGTAGGGGCAGGCATAGTTAAATCCCTTCTTTTCTCTCCTTAACAGACCTCTAAGTGACCTAGGCCCATTTTACGAAACACAGGCCCAACTGCCTCCCGCGAGGCCTGGCGGGATGGCCCACGTGCTGGGACTGCAGGGCCGGTGAGAAGCTCGCTGCTCTTTCCTGGCCTCCCTTCTCACGGAGCTCCTTCGCGAAGCAACCTCTGCCTGCAAAGTGCTAATGAGCGTTAGCGGCGTTCTCCGACTTAACACCCGGCTCGTTTTTATTTTCCTTCTTCTAGTCACAAACTAGCTTGAGTTTAAAGAAGTCTTCTGTCCCAGGAGAGGAAGTCTCGCCGGGTACTTAGCGCAGGACCGGCTTGGCACCAGGCTCATCCAACCCGGCTGCGCCTGCACAAACCGAACCCGACGGCAAACCACCGTCTTTATCGTGGCAGCGTTCGCAGCACAGCCCGAGCGCGACCCGAGGCGT